AGTCTAGAGTGATGTCTGACAAGTTTCGTGAAAATCGGTCCAGATTTAGATATAGCTCCCTTTTATTATAGATTTATTTTAAGTAATTGACGCACTAAGGAACCAATATGCTGATAGGAACAAAACGTTCTGAAATTAGTATAACCTAACCTGTGACAAGTTTGTTTGAAATCGCATAATATTTGAATAGAGCTTCCATATATATTTTCGCCAGATTTCAAGTAAATTGGGCATCAAACTGCTCATGTTAGTCAGATTGACATCAAATTTTGCACAACTTACAAAATTGAGCATAGAATTACGTAGTTGCGTTTTCTAGAAGTACAGAAATAGCCCAACGGATGACCTGTTTATATTTGTTTGAAGTCGATTTACATACTTTATGGAGAGATCTAGCTAGATTCACATTTAAATAAATATCACATATTTTATTTCATCCAATTTCATGTTAATAGTCCTGTTTAAGATTGTGGTGAAGGGTATCATATAGTCGGCCCGTCCGACTTTACTACTTTCCTTACTGGTTTAATTCTTTATTTGTGCAATGCGTCCATTCACTTTCAGAAGTACGATAACAATGAAGAAAATGCATTCGATTGACAAGCATAGTTGCTGATTTGAACACATATGAAAACATGTTGACAACGTTCGTTGTCATATTCTCAAGTTTGACAACGTTCGTTGTCACATTCTCAAACATGACAACGTATCGTGGTCAAATACTAAACGCCTGTTGACAAATTGACAGCAAGCGTTGTCAAAACCAAAGTGACAACGCATGATGAAAAATCGACAACGAACGGTGTTAATTTCGCAAAGTGTTTTTCCCCTCAGTCTATAGATAATAGACTCAAAAATAATCGAAAAATATAACATCCAACTGATTTTATATGAAAGCTAAAACGGAACCAACTATGTGCTGATTTATGCTATTAAATATTTCGTATCAATTTGATGAATATTAAATGCTTGGTGTGCCTTTTACCCGAAATAGCACGCAATGATATTTGGGAGTTATATATATATGTATATATATAATACCCATTATTCTATAAATTTAAATTGCATGTTCATAATTTCGCTTCGATCGGTACATCGTAGCATATGTTTGCGTTACACTCTATTATGTATATACCGGCGTTTTTTTCGTTAATTTTCTTCGTCACCATTCGTTAGTCGCAGTGAAATCTTTGAAACCCACCAAGTCGTCATTTGTTGAACGGCATTATCAGTGCGAGATTTGACAGTAGAAGAACATAACTCGACATTATCGCACGTAGAAAATCTCGAGATTGCTTGCGTTCAGAATTCATTTAATTTCAAGACGTTCTTCCCACGGACGGACATTACAAAATGAAAACAACACATCGAAAGTAAGTACAGATGCTCTATCTATGCACCTCATACCAATTTATTTCCGTATCCTGACAGGAAGCGCGTATATTGGCATCGAGTCCTAATAACAAAACTGATTGAACTCTACGAGAAACATGAATGTCTTTACAATAAAAATCACAAAAATTATAGCAATCGTATGGAGCGATTAAAAGCCCATCGAAATATATTGCGGGAATTGCAAGTGATCGAACCGCGTCTAAGAATAGAAAATATTCGTACTAGAATTTTTTCCATACGGACTCAATACGCCAAGGAATTGACACTGATGGCATTGGCGGATTTAGCCGGTAAGCCATTTAAATCAAAATTATGGCATTTTCCAAAATTGTCGTATCTCAGAGGACACATTGCACCCGTGCCACTGGATGGGGTAAGTGATGTATTTTCATCGGATTGTGTAGGAATGTTTTTGTAATGTTGGTTTGTCACTCCATTCCGATTAAACAATGCTCCCACATAACGCTGCATTAAATTAAGAATGTTGGTTTGTTGTTCAATTGATTCCATTTAAATAAATCTATTATTAGAACAAATATGTGAAGATACCATTATTAGTTGTGTGGGTATGACACAGTAATCTGATAAGAACAGAGTGTGTAATCCAATTATTTTTCAAACTATCTGGTTTGTTGAATTAATCAATGTTTTATGATTTCAAGTCAAAACAATTTAGGAGAGAACAAATATCTTTTGAATATCTTGTATTGCATTAGGATTTAGGATTAGGATTGTCCCATTCGGAAGTGGACGCGATTATAATAGATTAAAACTAAGCTATTATAACATGTAAATACTTTTTGGTATAAGGAACCCAAAATATCAATTAAAGTCAATTCAGTTGAAAACCGCATCCAAAATACTATGAGTATCGAATACCGTTATAGCCACACTTATGAAATGCAAATAATTCCAAATAATTCTCCTTTGAACATAATAACTATTCTTTTCCAGAAAAGTTCACCAACTTATGATGACGACGATGACATTAATGATGGCGGAAAATCACTTTATCAAGAATTGGAGGGAAGAAGATTTCGTTCAACGTAATTCGAATAGAAAAAAAATAATATTCTCTTGATTTATTAAATGTATTTTCTTTTGAAGGAAACGTAATTGGGATCCTCTTTTGACCGAACAATTTATAGAACAATTAAAAGAGCATCCCTGTCTGTATGACAAGGATCATGAGGATTATGGTGATTATGAGAAGAGAACCGTAGCACGCAATCAATTATTGCGAGAATTTGAGACTGTCATACCCGGTCTCACAATAGATGATATAATTTCAAAGGTCCAAAATCTTAGAGTTCAATATGCCCGTGAATTAAATAAGAAGGCCTCGGCTGAAAAGAAGAATGAAAAATATATTCCAAGACTGTGGTGGTTTGAGCAACTGTCCTTTATGAATACCTCTATGAAAAATAGTGGAAAAGTATGTATATAATCTCTCATAGAATATTACTTTTAACTAGAGGAAATGAATTTTTTATAGAACGAAATACAATTGAAAGATACCAATGAAATGTCTGAGGACATGGATGATGAAAATTTCGACCATGACGAATATGACACAAGTGATGAATTTCATGAAAAGAAATCACAGGAATTGGATATTACTTGTGATAATAATGTATTAGATTCCAATATGGATGAACCCGCTACCGATATTGAAGCTGATGCAGGGGATATAGACTGTGATGAGTCGTTATTTAAATCAGAAACGGATACCACTTTGAAAGAACCATTATCAAACAATAAATTCGTAGACAAAGATGTCGAGGACTACGAATGGTTGGGACAACTGGTGATTTCACAAATTCATAAAATTTCTTCAACGTTTCGAAGTGATTTTGCCTGGGATATACAATGTCTAATAAGGAAATATATATTGAAAACAAGACACAATAATACAGACCAGGAGAAAAAATTGACAAACAAGACTGAAATTGAGACTGAAGAAAATCAATTTGAAATTAGGGATATCGTATTGCCGCGTTCATCAAATGTTACTTTAAATATTAGTTTTACATAAATATGTGTATGTGTTTTTAAATTGTGAATAATAAATACAAGTTTGTACCAAAGTACTAATCTAAGGTTCGGTCCCTGTATTCCTGAAATTAGATCGTGGAACAAGATTTGTAATCAGATTTCCTTTCATGAAAAAGATATAAACAGAAATTGTTTTCTTTTCGAATGCAACGAAATAAATCGAAGTGTTCTTCATTTAGAATAACGGTCCCATTCTCAAATGTCCCACCATAAAAAAAATAAAATAAAAAAATAAAGAATTATAAGAATTATAACTTTATTTAGTCATAATTCTGCATAGATACAGAATTAGAGGACGGATATAAAAAATTAAGTTATAACGCTCTATGCAAACATTTATCGTATTTATCATTTCCTGCATAAATGTATGCAAGCCTTCAAAAACACGCAATGTGATTACAGTTTCTTTGGTGAGAAATGAGGTTGTAACCCTCAAAAATAGGCTTCTACTGCTATCTGGAGGCTATACCAAATCATGGACCGGTACTTTTTAGTGAGAAGATTTGACACCCAATTATAATCAAAAATATAAAATTAGATAATTTTTAGTAGGAAATTTTTCTACATATGGAGAATCGAAAATATCAAATTACAGCTAAATCTAACATATTCTTATTAAGAATTCTGGTCTTCGAGGTGTTGCAAACAAATTTAATATACACTCCTCCTTGTGTTGGAGGATATAATAAATTTGTAAGAAGTACAGATCTCATTATTTTTTAGCACTTTCTAGCACTATTTCAAACAAAATCTAGCATTTTTTCTCAACAAAGTTTTGGCAACATTGCTAAGGCCTTAAAAATATGAGATCGCGCTGCTACAATAACAACCAACCTCTAATGTTGCATCTTCGTTGAACACGCAATTTAGAAACCAAAATCAGTTGGAATTTCAAAGCCTTACGTAAAATATTGTAATAAAAGAACAGCCACAAAACAAAAACACATTTTATTAATTTTATATATTTTTAAAATGTATCATTTATTTCTTTCATTCTAATAAATTATATAATATCAACAAAATTCCCTCGTTTGCTTTCAATTAAAAATGTACATAATAAAGACTTAAAAGAAAAAAACAACAAAATGTTAGATAATCGCAAGCATACAGGCGTCACATACATACGCAGCGAATCCTGCAGCATTGACAACTGTTACAGAAAATTGTTTAAATAATAATTGACAATGTTTTGCCATAATTAACAGATCTATGAGACGAAATTCATTCGCAGGATAAAGTTCCACACGAAAATATTATCGATGAGAATACGATTTGAGGCTGTCAACAGGAATTCTCTTTTGCGATAAATGATTTACAAATACAAAACAAACAATAATTATATCCAATAAAAATACATTTAAAATATCAATGGAATGGTAAAAAACAATACTAAGATTAAGAAGAAGAATTAGAATTAGAATAACATTACAAAATAATGTGAAAAATATATGTTTTAAATTAAATGATTAGACAAATGAGTGGTTAGATTTGCTGCAAGTCGAATAGCTTTGATGTACAGGGTAACGACGCTTCGGTTATTTGTTGTATTGTTAGTATATCCGATATGACGATTAATAACTATTAACGGTTTCTTTTGTACATTTCCGATTCATGCATAGCTCCAAATGGTTATGATTTACAGCTTCTGATTCCATGAGTAGACTTCTGGTATGGCCGATGAATAATGTAGGTCATACATTTGTGATTTAATGAATTCACGTTTATCCTCGGGCTCGGGACGAACTGTAGCCAATCCTATAAAGCACAAAGATTAGATATGATTAAAATTTAGAAAAAAAAAACATATCAAAACATTACTAAGAAGATAAAATTTATTTTTATACTGAAATAAGATAAATTGAAATTTTCAAAATATAGTTGTAGTTTTAATAAAGGGACGAAAATCGTTAAAACATGACAATATATTAAATATCATCATGATAGGTAACATGAGCGCTAACATAGCAGACCATCAGATAGATATTTCAACTTGAATGGGCAAATTAATATACAGTCGAACTCGGATAAGCGAACGCCGGTTTATCGAATCGGTTTTATCGGTTAAATGAAACTAAAAATTATGAACCAATATTTTGGATGAATTTTCAAATATTTTACTTCGCTTAAAAGAAAACTCGGTCAATTGAAAATTCGTATAAGAGAAAGATTTTCTTTGTTGCAAAAACACACACACATATATATATATATATATATTGCAATTGGGTTCAATTTAAGTCAAACAGTTTAATCTTACCGTTCTTGTAGGCGTATTCCATAATATAGGCTGCAATTTCCACCGAACATTCTGTGATTTTCTTCAATGGTGGATAAAGGCTTCCTCTTTCCAAATCTTCTGGCTCACAAAGGTCTGCTAGACGTTCAGCTGACATCAGGAACACTTCTTCTGGTATGGTCAACATACCGGCACAGAGAACACCCAAAGCAACACCAGGGAAAATATACGAATTGTTACCCTGGCCGGGATAGAAGGTTTTGCCATTATATTCGACGGGGTCGAATGGTGAACCCGAAGCAAAGATACATTTGCCGTTTGTGTATTTGTAGGCCTCTTCAGCGGTGCACTCCGCCTTGCTGGTGGGATTCGACAAAGCGAAAATGATTGGAATATCATTGTATTCGGCCATTTTCTCAAGAATGTCCTTTGTGAAAGCTCCACCAATTGCGGCGGCACCAATGAGTACGGATGGTTGTAGCGTTTCGACGGCTTCGGCTAAGGTGTCAATAGGTGCATGATCTTGGGCGAAATGTAGCTTGTGTTCAGTGATACCACCGGTGGGACGATTCTTTACAATCAGACCCTTGCTATCAACCATCCAAATGCGTTCTTTAGCTTCGGCTTCACTTAGACCCTCCTTCATCAGAGCCATTAGGCATAGATTGGCAATACCCAAAGCAGCTTCTCCAGCACCAAAGAAGAGGATCTTATTCTCTTTCAGTTGTGTGTTCTTGATTTTCAGTGAAGCCAGCAGACCAGCTACGGCAACAGAAGCTGTTCCCTGGATATCATCGTTGAAGGTACAGAAGTCATCGCGATATTTCTTCAAGAGACGGAAAGCATTGGCGTTGGCAAAATCTTCGAATTGGATGAGGCAATTTTGGCCGAAACGGCGTACAGCGGCATGCATGAATTCATCAATGAATTCGTCATATTCGGGGCCAGTGACGCGTTTCTGGCGCAATCCAATGTAGAGGGGATCGTTGAGAATACTTTCGGTGTTGGTGCCAACATCCAATGTGATAGGTAGGCATTGACTGGGCTTGATGCCAGCCAAAGCAGTGTACAAAGACAGTTTGCCTACAGGAATACCCATGCCGTTGGCACCTAAATCGCCCAAACCCAAAATACGTTCACCATCGGTGACGACAATAGCGCGAACATCAGTTTCTGGCCAGTTCTGTGAAAATAAACAACCATTAATTGTTTTGTTTTTTTGTAAACATTGAAGATCTAGTTCTTACCCTCAACACTTCATAGACATGTCCCTTATCGTTGATATTAATGTACATGCCCTTTGGATATTGGAAGATTAAACTGAATTTTTGGCAAGCCAAACCCACAGTAGGAGTGTAAACCAAGGGCATCATTTTGGATACGTCCGACGATAATACTTTGTAGAACAGACGTTCATTGCGTTCGGCCAAAGTATTCAAATACATATATTTGTCCAAATCATTTTCCAATCTATCGAGCAACAGTAAACAGTGTTCAACTTGTTCTTCTTCAGTTTTTACTCGGGCTGGCAAAAGACCTTGAATGCCGAGTAGTTGACGTTCTTCGAGGCTAAAAGCCAAACCCTGTAATTTAAGTAGAGAAATGAAATATCGTATTAATTTATGTATTTTCAAGAATTTGTTTTTACAAATAATACACATATTTAGTGCTGGGATTTTGAAGTGTGAAAGGATATTTTGAATTTAATAAAATGGTTCAAATAAAAATTATAGGAAAAAAGAATATTTCGTCATCAAATATTTTTTTTAACAAATACGATATATTTCCAATTTCCACAATGTGTGTTGATCGGAGACCATTAAAATAAAATAATATTCACGATTTTTCGGAAATAATTTTTTGTTCATTAGCAATTTTTATTTTATTAATTATAAACATACATACATATGTATATTTTTTTAAATAACAAATATTTTTATTAAATAACAATCTCTAGAATGTGATTTGATGTGTTTAGCTAATTTTTGTTGACTATTAAAATAAAATAATATTCACGATTTTCCGAAAATAATTTTATGTTCATTAGCAATTTTTATTTTACTAATTATAAACATACATACATATATTATTTCGAATCTATAAGATTTAATTGCAAAATTTCATGACGATATCGAATTTTCATTCTATCTAAAGTTATTCGATGATAATCCGGGAATGTAATTGACGTGTGTCATAGGACGTGCTTGTAATTTAAAACGTTGTCACGTTTTCATACGAACATTTTACGACTGACATTTGCGGTTTCCAATTTTATTTTGTGTGTTTGTGCTTTTCTGCAAACAACTAAATTTCAAGTGCATCTAAAGTGTTGTGAAATTATTTGTTGAGTGTGCCGAAACGATTTATAACGAATGTCGTATGACAAATTATGATACATATTTAGACTTTTTATATGATGTATGTGTTTCCAAAAATGGCGTTAACAAAATTCATGGCAAATAATATTAGTTCTACATAATGACATTCAATTACGGTATGTATGTACCAAGGTGTATTTAATAAGGTGTATGCATCAGATACAACAACAAATATGTTATGCCATGTACAGACGAGCGTTGTTCGCTCTCTCATTCGTTGTTCGACCCTTAATTATGAAGTAATTACTTAGTTCCCCATACAAAATTGTCTGAGCGAACACCGACTTTTGTACGTTGTTCAATTCGAATCACTCTCCGAATCACCAAGAATTTTGTCCCATCTCTAACTATTGAGAGAATTTATCGAAAATAAATTAATTTTGACAGCATGAAAAAAATTTTCAATTTTTCAAACTTTTTCAGTAAAATTGAAAATGATGAATGAAAAGTAACCAAAATTCTAGTTTTTATATATGCAGAAGGATGTAAATTTTGTTGTCTACATAATGCAATATGCATTTCTATCCCCTTGGTTCTAATTAGCGTACAAAACGAAAAACAAAAGTGGGGAAACCCAAACAAAAATTCTCCAATTTTTTAAATGTGACATTTGAGTTGAGAAAATATAAAAATGAATTGAAAACAACAATATTTTCAGAAAAAATGGAAAACATGAATTAAAAGTAAAGAGATAGGGGTTGATATTATAGTCCGGAGAAAGAGAATTATTTTTTCTATTTAGATCCATATGTGATTCACGCAAATATGTTACAATTTTGGTGTGAAACAAGAAACAAAAAGTTTGAAATACAAAAACTCTGATGACATGAATTAAGAATAGTGTTGTATGAACGGGTTAATTCATATATGTACGTAATTCTGAGAGCGAACTACGTTGTTCGAATGCCCGTCAGAACATGGCATTACAAAAACAACATTGTTGTTATAGAAATTAAATTGTCATGCTGACAATAAGTTTTTGACAAAAATAAACAAAAACAATTATTAATTTATTTTTGTCAAGAACTATTCTTTCAGGAATAATTGATGAATTTGTGTATTCTTAGGTTATTGGCGGTTTTAGGTCAGAGAAAAATAAAGTTTAAGACATGGTCGCGATTAATTTTAAGTTACCCACAATTAGTCCATGGCTCCTTGTGATGTTGTTTGTATTGTGGATTACAATCTATTTTTTATGGAGTGGCTTCTTGCCTTCTTAAAGAAAATTGAAGGACATAAATCCCCGGCCAAAGACTAAATCATCAATCAAGGTGCCGATTCCAATATAGGCTAACATAATCTCCTCGATTTTATGAGTAGCTGGAGTTTCTGGACAGATTTCCACACATAACATAAAATATGTGGACCAATCGGAGAACGGGGTTATAACTGACCTAAGTTTCCTTTTCGTCCCCCTCTATGAATGTAGTTTTCATGAATTTTTATTATTAAAAAACCTAAAAAAACATTTTTGAAATCGAAATGTAATATTGAAAATGTTTTTGACAATTTACTTTACAAACAATAAAGAAAAAAGTTTGAAACCATATGATTGTCACTTACACCTAATTAAATACACCTTGGTATGTACGGTATTATTTCAAAATGTGTTATGTGTTATAAATATGTTTAAAAAGTAAAATTTTTCAAATGCAAAAATAAATTGAAACCGGAATAGGCCACTTCAATATGTCCGTTAACATCAAGCATAATTATCGTGTCGTACGATATTTAAATAACCCCTAATAAACGTATGTTTATTGAGTTATGTTCACATTCACCAATTGTCTGTCTGTTTCACATACAAAAAAAATAAAATAAAATAAAATAAATAAAGACACTACTGCCAGCTAGAGGTCAACATGTCATAAATAACATTTACGGTTTCATGAAGATTGCAATCAACGGAAATGGATAGTCGGTAGGTTAATTAACAATTCATAATTTGTTTAGAATACACATAATACTTTTTTTTTTCTTCTTAATTTTTGTTAGTTAAGACTTTTTGCCGATTCATGACTTAATGCACAAAAAACATGACAACGTACGCACGACGTAAAACCCTGACATTGCTCTTAGTCTGACCATTTAAAATCTAATGAAACATCATTTCACGAAAATCACAAATTTTGTTGTTAATTCATGCAAATTGTTTACGTTTTGCTGTTTAGAAAAAAAAAAAAACAAAAAGCGTAAGCATAGACGCTTTAGTAATGCGAACTGAATCAATGCCAAATCACACCATTTTCAATATTATTATTTGTCTCTAGTGAACGGTTGCGTTTGTATATAGTATGCATGTACACGTATGATTTATTCAATAAATGCATCATGATATTCATTTTCGGATAGATGGATAGGTAGGTAGAAATGTAATAAGATTTTAATTGTACCCATCTTTTAATTAATTTAATTGTACCCATATATTAACGTCGACGATTGCCTTCGGTTTTAATATATTTAGGAGAACTATGCGGGTCAAACAATGAATATCTTTATTCAAATTAACAACATTTCTGTCCCCAGTGAATTCGTTGTTTCCGTGTCCAAACGTAAATTTATGTACAAATTCAGTACAATTGCCCAACCTAACTTGGAAATACATATTTACTGTTTGCTACATAGCAGAGAGTAATATACATGTGCATATACAGAAGATTTTACATTTTGTCATAAAATTAGAAAAAAAAATACATAAAACTTGCCGCCTATAAAAATATTATATACCAATTGAATTTCTTCTATATACTTTTACTGTGTGTTCTGGTTTACCACCACAAAAAGGTACTTTACTTTTGCATATTTAGACGAGTTGTTTTGTATCGGGAACCGTATTTAATTTTATAATTACTCTGTCTGAGTTTCTTTATTTTTAGGTAATTTGTTTTATTATTTCGACAAAAAATCCGCTTTGTGTGTCAATGGAAAGATTTACATTCTATTTCCATAATTCGATATGTTTACATAATTCAGACTATCCCTTAAAAACAACTGACTAATCCGCCTAAAAAACAGTAAACTATTTTAACCTGTTTTCCAATAGGGGTTTCATTAAAATGTTATTTTTCATATTAACTAATGAAAATAATTATATTTTGTTAAACAAAAACTATTGGTTTCAGACGTTTTTTTGATGTGTGTATTATCCGTCGGAAATGTATGTCATTTACCTCACTGTTTCTGATAGACCTTTACAACTTTAAATATCATTGGTAATGGAAATAAAGGCCTAGGATGTTTGTAAAAGAGTGCCAAGGAGAACGAGCTATATTAGGCCGTCTGCTAAGGGAATACATTTCTTGAGGTTCCAATCGGGAACGAAACTACAACTCATATGACTTACAGGCTACTTAACAATTTTCCATCTACAACCTGACCTTAAAGCAGAAGCAAGCCACAATAAAAAATAAAATGAAATCATTGAAATTTAATGTGATAACTGAATTGTGAGTACATGGCAAACACATTTAGCTAGACCATTATCAAATTAGTTTTAACCAGTTAATTTACGCTTGTAAAAATCCATGTTAGGCTATCTACACAAAACGATTTTTGTTTCATAAAAGCGAGAGAGAGAGATGGAGAAAAGGCAAATTAAATATTATGCCATCTTCGAGGTATGCATGGATGTGGGTAATGATGACACATCAAATTGACTTTAACACTTAAGTGTGGAAAGATAAATCATTTCGCCATGGGGGGAACAATACTAGTTGTTGTTTTATATTTTCTTTTTGAAACTATTTTTTTTTTGAAACAAAATCTTTTCTGAAGTTGATAAAAAATGGTGAGATTTGCCATCGTGTTTTGTTATCGTTTTCAAGCTATTCACATACATAGTATCATGCGCCAGTGGTATGATTGAAAATATTGCAAAAAAATTATACAAATCGCTTTGTAACGAAATCGATATTATGTACCTCTAGGTTCGTTTGTGAGGTGAAAACATTTCCGTGGAATACAGTTTTCAAATATAAACAAAATATTTTATAAGTGGTGGTATTGGGGTTGATTTTTCAAAACACAGATACAAGCACACACATACAGGTGTATAAAATTGTGTAACAATTACACATAGCCATTAAAACAAACAAAAAATTATTTACGTAAAAATTTTTGTTAGTTGTCATCATTCCTCACCAAGTAGACATTTTTGTGAATTGAAATGAAATATGGATAAATATAATAATAATTTTCATCAAATTCGTCATAACGTCTTTAAAGATATTCAAATATTTGAATAGGCCATACCCAAAGTGCATGCAATTTATGCAGATTATTGTAGATGTCGGTAAATATTTACTTATGAATGAATGTCGATCTGCCGTATAGGTTTTTTTTAATATTTTTTTTTTGGAATACCCTTAATGTTTATTTAAACCACCATAGTTAGTTATGATATACGGCCGAAATAAAAACAAATTCGGTGCCACATTCTGTTCGGTCTGATTCATGCTTTGCGTATATAATAACGTAATTTTCACAACATGTCTCACAGTTAACTAAGCCAAAACATTGACACATAACGTGATAGGGTAGTGTGCGACACGTCACACTGGACATTTGAAGCGATAAAAACCCAATAGAATGACAAAGCATTATTATGTATGAATGGAGCAAAACTTAATTTTGTTTAACAAATTTCGAGGGAATTCACACTGATATCGAGTCATAATACTGTATGTTATAACTCAAAATACTTAATATATTCAATACTGGTCATAGATACATCTTTGTTTGATTAGTAAAATAACTTGATCTTGAAAATACTTCTCTTGAACTTTAGACTGAGGAACAATTTGTAAAAAAAAACCAACAACAATTTATAATATATGTTCGCTAGACTTTTTAGAATTAGAATTTATCATTGACATGTGCGTTATTTACGGTCCGTCAATATGATGATAAAAGGTCACACGAGTTTTGTAATCTCGACCATTGAATAGAGAGGGGAGATATTATGGATGACTTTCTGTTTTTTTTATCTTTTTTGTTATGAATCGAAATAATGATTATATTTTTTGGAATGAATTATTTTTTGTAGATGAACAATTTCCGTTAGAGTTAACAAAATAAAAATTGCCATAATTATAATAATTTTTTTTTGCATGATGCAATTATGCAAGGAAACTCCAAAACTACCACATAGAAAATGTTCATCATTCCTCTAATCAAGCCATTTCCTCTTATATGTATGTATTGTAACACATATGAAAATGCTGGGAATCGGGAATTATTCTATGAAGAAATATTTACTGCTTCAAACTTTCCCAGCAGACAGATGGAGTAAATTTAGAACGGGAGGATATTAAAAAATAATACTTTCGAATTTATTGTCTACACAATAATCCTGCTGGGCAATTTTTAAAAACAATTTGTCATATCGAAATTGACAACAGTATTACGTTGGAATCAAATCAGCTGAATATTGCAGTTAATTTGTATAATTGTACCAAGGGGGTTTCGGCTGTAACAGCAATAAAGAATAATATTTGCAATTTATGTGGAACTAAAGCCCGCTTAGTTAGTTGGAAGACATACTCAATTATCTTGAAATTTAAAAATTGTGTAATAACTAATTCCTAATATTAATCATCAACGTTTTTTGTCTTGCCATCGTTTGAAAAAAAATCCACATCAATTTTGGAAATCTATACAAAAATCTAGATAATTTCCTAAAAAACGCAAAAAATCAAAAGTTACCATTTTCAAAATTTCTTTAAACACGGCCCCGATCACTTTAATAGTTTCCCGAGATATGGCTCTCTAAAATACAAGGCGATTTTATCGAAGGGTAATGCTTTAAATCTCGACCGAGGTTCCCCCTCAAAAGAAAATAGAACTTAATGGAATTATGTCGCAATACTGTATTAGAATCTGCTCATAGATGAAAAAATAAATCTCTGAAGTAGTCAACATAAGGAAATTATGGAGGCTCAATATCAAGTAGGATTATCCGTGTGAACATTTTAATTGTCTACACAAGATATAGAAAATCCCCAGAAAAGCACAATTTTATATTCAATTTATAACACAACATTCTTTTAACCACAATATCCTCACGTAACGACAAATTAAAAAAAAAAAAAAAAAAAAAAAACATGAAGAAATATTCTATCAATTAAAATTTTGCCTAAAGTCGAGATATTATGTTAAAGTATGTTCAGAGTTTCCATAAATCGAAATTAAATAAATAATAAAAAAGTTTCTTAAATAAACTATTGGTCTGTTTCCTTACTGCAAGAAAATACTAATTTTTACTATTTTCTTCGATGTCATAAAGGAAAAATTGTTATTGTAGTAAAAATAGTAGATTCTTGATGTCCCACCAACCACATAAAACTATAAAAAATATTTAGTCAGACAAGTTTTCTAAAATCATTGAGTTTTTATTCACTTCAAGTTTCTTTAAGGATAACAAAAGCTCTCGGCTTAACTCTAGTTTAGTAAAAATGATCAGATTTTTCTGAATTTTTTTCCAGAGGTAGGTATTTTTACCCTAATTATGGGGATATCTTTTTTTCTTGGGGGACGTACCCGGTTACCCGGTTATTTGACCCGAAAGTTCGGGTACGGGTACCCGGTTATATCCGGTTCACCGGATCCGGTTAATATAATATAGGGAGTTTTTCAAAAAAATCGGGGACCAAAACCTAGTTTTTTGACTATATCTCCAAATATATCTACCACTCAATGGAAAGGTATTTTTATAACCTTTAAAATGATACCCATATTATATTAACTGGATCCGGTGAACCGGATATAACCGGGTACCAGTACCCGAACTTTCGGGTCAAATAACCGGGTAACCGGGTACGTCCCCCAAGAAAAAAAGATATCCCCATAATTAGGATAAAAATACCTACCTCTGGAAAAAATTTCAGAAAAATTTGATCGTTTTTACTAAACTAGAGTTGTTCCAAGCTCTCTGCAGCTTGGTTCTAACAATGCACTAACCAAAAGAAAAACAATAAAAAAAATTAAACAGAACGGATATACAAACATATGCACATTTGTACGTATAAATTAAAAAAAAAAAAAAAAAACATCGCCTGACCATCTATCCAAAATCGTTTCAATGAAACCAGAAACTATTCATGAATTCTCGGTATAACAGAAAAAAAACTTAAATTCAACACAAAATAACAACAACAAAAACACCACGTTATGCAGTCACAAAAAGGATGGAAAATCCCCAAAACAATTCGGGTATACAGAGAATTGGTTTCCAATGGGAATCTCTTTTCTTCTTTCACCACCACTACTACTAAGCACAGCCGAAACAGCCGTTTACGACGTACGCGAATAGTATTTTTCGTGTGTATCCCTCATCACTTCGTTATCCTTAAATGTGTCACTGTCACTAGGAGTGATTCTATGCGGAACACCTTTGTTATAACGACCACTACTCTCATATTCTTACCTTGTTATATTTTTTCTGTTGCAAACGTTGTAAGCCGGAAACGTTACCGGGTACATCATTGTCGCCACCAGCGCCCCACAAACCGAGACGATCGCGGGGAACTTTTTTAAGAGGACTACCGTTGCTGGAACCGTTCATGCTTGAAAAATCCATGTGAATATTCGAACGTTGCTGTAGATTGTACAAGGGTGTTTGTTGCTGCTGCTGGTGGTTGTAGAGGTGTCCTTGTTGGTTAGAGTATGTATGACGTAATGTTCGATTGACGGCGTTTATTGCACTGACATTTCGCATCAAATCATCCAGGTCCGCTTGGGAAAGTAGAGGTACTTTTGAGTTGGTGGTCTCCGACTGGGTTGCTACCGTTTCACAATTAAGTCGCGTTTGAGATTCGGATTTCAGTACGTTAACTGAAGCGGCGTTTGCGTTTGATGGTTGCTCGGCGGCTACTCGACTGGTACTGATTTTTGAGAGCTTTGCAATGCCGTTCGTCAACTCATATTCAATGGTCGTGGTGGTGGTGGTTGTTGTAGCCGTCGTATGATTCTCATTTGTTTGGCCATTGCGCATTCCCATACAGCTGCAAACTGGTGGGGTTGCTGTTGCCAACGACGGCACTATTGAGGGAACCCCGCTTGGTATGGCATTAGTTGTGACGTCATGGATATCATGACAGGCATTTCGCATAGGGGCACCAGCAGCAGCAGCTGTTGTTGTGGCTTTGCCATCAGCTGTTGCTGGTGTTTGGATTGTGCCATTGCCATTACATTTGCATTGTTGCTGTTGTTGTTTCTGTTCGTTTATCGGTATTGTTGTTTTATAATAGTGGTGTTCGTTTGGGGTTCTCTGGCCACCATGAGAGGGGCTGTACGAATTCACTGCCGATGGATACACAGGTGAACTGCAAACAAGAAGCAAAGAGAGAAGACAAATGAAATAGTGGGTAAACATAAGCAATCGAAGATAAAGAAAGGTAGACACAAATTGTAAGTCGATTGTATATGAGGTTTGCTCCCGCTGCATTGTGTTTATTTGCAAATACGTATGTACAAGGTGTATATAATAAGGTGTATGCATCAGATACAACAACAAATTTTTTACAAAAACAACATTGTTGTTATACAAATTAAATTGTCACGCTGACAATAAGTTTTTGACAAAAATAAACAAAAACAATTATTAATTTATTTTTGTCAAGAACTATTCTTTGAGGAATAATTAATGAATTTGTGTATTCTTGGGTTATTGGCGGTTTTAGACCAGTGAAAAATAAAGTTTAAGACCTGGTTGCGATTAATTTTAAGTTTCCCACAATTAGCTCATGGCTCCTTGCGATGTTGTTTATATTGTGGATTACAATCTATTTTTTCTATGGAGTGGCTTCAAATCTTGCCTTCTTAAAGAAAATTTAAGGACATAAATCCCCGGCCAAAGACTAAATCATGGAAATTGTGTTGACCGTATAAAATCTCACCAAAGGGCCGATTGCAATATAGGCTAACATAATCTCCTCGATTTTATGAGTAGCTGGGATTTCTGGACAGATTTCCACACATAACAAAAAATATGTGGACCAATCGGCGAACGGGGTTATAACTGAGCCTAAGTTTCCTTTACGTCCCCTCTATGAATGTAGCTTTCTTGAATTTTTATTATTAAAAAAGCCTAAATTTAAAGACCATTTTTGAAATGAAATGTAATATTGAAAATGTTATTGACAATTTACTTTACAAACAATAAAGAAAAAAGTTTGAAACCATATGATTGTCACTTACACCTTATTAAATACACCTTGTGTATCATGGTACAATTATAAAAGGTAACAGCAAATCCCAGCTGATTTGATTCCAATGTAATACTCAATATGAATTTGACAAATTATGTTCTTAAAAATCACCCAACAGGAAAATTGGGAACGCATACAATTTGAAATTGTTCTTTATTAAATGTGCTCCCGTATTCAATTTACTCAATCTGCCTGCTGGGAAAGTTTGAGGAAGTAAATCTTTCTTCATGGAATAACTCATATAATATACACACATATAAGTAGCAATGGCTCAATTATAGGAAAGATGTGGAAGCGATAGAAATATAAATTTGATAGATTTTCATTCATGTTCATCAATTTTTATTTTGAGGATTCGAAAATATTTCATTTTCAAAATAAAAATAATTTGATGATAATTTGTTTGTTTGTTTACAATTTTCTGTCAAATGAGTTGACACTAGTAGAACTTACAACAAAAAATTTCCATGTGGTTGTTGTTTCGTTTTTTGTACAACAACACTTGCTGTTACCCGCTAGTTCGACAAAACATCAATAGACGGGTTTTCTATAGAAATTTCGTCGATTACTTCCTCCAGTACTAACTTATGTATCCACTAGTATAATACGAATGATACTATTGATACTATTCATAGCATACACCATTAATGATTTTGATTTAAGGGTATGTACTTATTTCAGTATCCCAAAGTAAATGAACGGTTCGTCGATTGTATCAAATGCGCCTTACCATGGGATACTTAAGTAAGTTCACATATTCTTTTGTTTCTCTTTGTTCGATTCCGTTATTTTCTGAAATTTGCGTGATGCAAAAAAATATTGATGGTTGAAAATTTTCATTATTTGTCTGGCAAATGAAAAGAAAAGTTATAAATTGTGTGTGTTCCTAGTGAAATTTAAGTATTTTGTGTGTTTAAAGGTGAGGTAATTACCTTAAAAAAATAAATAAAACACGTGACTTAAACACCATATTTTGATAGTAAGTATTTATTTAAATTTGTATTTAATGAATTATTTCTAATTATAAGTGATTCTAATTTCAGACATACCTATTTCAAACTCTAGCATGAGTGAGGCTATACAAAAATTGATGACGTCAAAAAAGACACGAACTGCTTATAAAAATAATTTAACGTTCTTTAAGGTAAATTTTTATAGAGAAATTTTGCAACTTCTAAATTTTTCCATTTTCAGCCACAAGGTCCAAAACTACTAATACTGGTCCTAGATGAGCATTTCCGAAAAACAAGACAATTATTATCTGAATATGATCTAATTTTTATTTGTGTAATAATAAATAATTTTATATTTAATGAATTAAATGAAGCACTTACTTCGGTCATTATTAATCATTAGCGAAATAGTTCATTACTAATTACAAACGAATCATGACTGCAATTGTCATTACAGATTTCGTCAATGGAAGGTAAACGAGGTGGTGACGATTACATACCTCCAATGACATCCCTATGTTAAATTCGTCACTCAAACGCATGGCTAGTGTATTGGCGAGTAGGTACTGGTACTTTCTTTTGGAGCAATGGTATAAGTACTTATGTAGTGCTTACCCGAACAAGCGGGTACCTTCTATTATTATACCATGCTTGTGTATGTACATATACACATAAATAATAGGTTCTTTCGTTTACTCAATAATTTGTACGAATTTGTACAAATTATTACAAAATGTTGTCCGTTTACCCAAAAGTCCAGTAAAAGTGAATTGAGAGAGCAGATTTGACAGTTGTGTTACTGAGTATTTGCAAATTCTTACAAGGAAAATTTACTCAATAAGAATTTTCTTGTACCATCAGATGAAATTTAATCAGCTGTTTTGTTATGTTTTGTAAACAAACAAAAAATTTTTCTCAAGAAAATTGATTGTTTGTGAATTTTATTTTGATTTTGTATCATTAAATAGTTAAAAGTTACCGATCACAAACCTTTTATATGTTTGTGGGGAACAAACATCAATTTTCCGCTTGTTATCCATTTTTCTAATAAAAATGCTGTTTTTTATTAATTTCTCTTTCGAGATGAGCTATTTTTTAGTTTGAGACAATTTGTTTGTTGTTTTAATCAGCTGTGTCGAAACAATCTTTTACTCGTTCGGGACCTTAAAGATGTGGCGATTTATGCCATGGGAAATTGTTGGTAGGAAGATTTGATACCCAATGAAAACCACATAAAAGTCAATTCGATTTTATTAAATGGTTTATAAAGTCCCCATATATCTTTCGATTTGCAAGAAATTTGGCATGGCGTACTGAATAAAGTCTAAAATGATGTATGTTAATCGGTTCAGATTTAGATATATCTCCCATATATATTTTCTTCCGATTTTATGTAAAAGGTGTTTGTCCGGTTGACACGAAATTTTGCACAGCGTATCAAATTGAGACTAGATGCAGATGCAGACGTAGCTTCTATTTACATACATAAACTTCCAAAGGCAGTCTGATTGAGATTAAATTTTTAACAGTGCGGCACATAGAATAGCGTCCATCAAGTTTGCTATAAATCGATTTCAATGAATTTGTTAAATTGTACGCAAACTGCCGGTAACAGTAAATTTAGCATAGGTTGCAGAAAGGCATATGTATGGATTGATGTTAGTCGGTTCACTCATAGATAAAGATCGCATATGTAAGTTCGTTTAATTTCATCTTAGGATACATATTTATTATTATTATTATTATGACATTCGAGTACAAAAGTACGCAACTTTTCATCTTAATTTGATTTGTTATATGACCGTACTATTAATCCCATTCACAAAAAGTGGTAAAAATTGTTAAATTTATAAAGAATCTCCAAAATAGTAGATTTTTTTAGGGACACCTAAACTTAATTCTTCTCTTGGTCCTTGTTTACAGAGTTTAGGGATAGAACATTACTTGAAACATATAGAAAACTAGATATTGTGAAATATTTAACATTTGATTAATTTTTCACAATACTTTCCCTATTTATTAAAATATTGAAGTAGCAAAACAATCTTTCTTTTTTATTTATAAGAAAATATGTTACAATATGGCACCATTGCAGTGTTGTTTGTTTATTATTCAAAAATTCCATTTGAAATTAAAAATAATTCATTTTGAAATCCAAGAATGGATATTAGATTTTTTAAAGTTTTTGTAAATATTTTAAAACATATTAATTTCATTACCGAAAATATTGAGGCTGGTCAGGCATTAAACGATGGCTGATTAGCCAATATCAAGTAATTTCGCATGGATCGATCACGTGTTCACAGACAAATTTAAAAAGCAATTATTAAATTGTTGCTCGATTTTTTAAATGAGTATAAAATCAAAATGAAAAACCAGTAAAGAAAGTAGTAAAATCGGACGAGGCCGACCATATGAAACCTTTCACAATTTTGGGAATATTGACATGAAATTGGACGAACTTAAATATGTGATCTTTATTTAATGTGAACCGACTAACATAAATCCATAAACATGCCATAAACTGCATGAGAATTTCGCTGGAGCCTCACTTCGAGGTTAACAAGGCATTTACAAACAATATCACAAGTGAGGCTCCAGCGAAATTCTCATGCAGTTTACGTCGTTGGTCAGCTAAGTACTTCGCTTTGTTACAAGAGACATTTGCGTATGAAAGGTTTTTTGTATAGAAGCAATAGCTTCTGGGGAGAATATCCCAACAAAAAACTAAGGGAACTGATGAGGATCAGTGGCGTGATCCGAAACTATAGTCTTCCCTGCCTTACCCCTCGGCAAACAATGCCATACATTCCCCACTAATAAATAGTTGTTTTTTATAAAAACAACAAACTGGGATTTTCCATATATATAATTTTTAAAGTTATTACCTACGTAGATCAATAACCGTGGTACATTTGTACCCATCCAAAGATAGCTCTGTAACTCATTAAAAAATTGGACAATCGTGAGGTTTTTTCTTTTAAATTAGTCTATACGGATCTGATCTAGATGTAGGAACTCAAAATTATATATACATTAAAATAATATATATTCAAATCCATGCTTAAATGATAATCTATCTAAAACAATCATAGTAAATTCGTTATAGCTTTGAAATGGGTTAAGCTTATTTAGTTATTTTTTATTGGGATCTAATTTAGG